CAATTTGATAATTCATGATTTGAATTGTGATTTTCCAATCCCATTTATACAGCACTTCCATTATATTTACACCAATTTCTATTTTTAAATTAAAATTACCAGAAAGTCAAGATTTTTATAATGCTTTTTTTTATCCAAAGATTCCCACAAAATGTTCCTACAGGAAAAATGAGTATATTTTCAGAGAATGACTTTACACAATTTTTTAGAAGTGAGAATCTATCTTTGCCCAGTTAAATTAAAAAAAAGTACTATCATATTACTTTTATTAAATTATTTAATATGACGATGAACTAAAAATTAATAAAAATAATGCATTAGTTTTCAATCTCAAGAAAATGTGTATAAATATTTCTAATAATGTATTTTTACCAACAAAATAGAATTTAATTATCATTAGAAATCATAATTTCTAATATGTTAATGATCTTGATTTTCGGATATAGAAAACTTTATCTGCTACCATATATTCTATTAATGCTATCAAATTTTAAAATTGTATCACTATCAAATTTTAAAATTGTATCACTATCAAATTTTAAAATTACATCACTATTTATCACTATCAAAAGAAAGACAAGTTAGGAAAGAGACAGACGAACAGCATAACACTTACGTTGTTTATTTGCTGACAATGTTACTAATTTAACTTTCACAATGAAATAAAATTTTGGAAACCTTTTGTGATTTTTGTTTTCTTTCAAAGATATTTGTCGGTGCTTCACACTTTAAAAGTTCAATATGATAATATATTGAGAGACATTAATTAAATATATATAAATATTAATAAAATTTTGAGGGGGGACATACACTTCATACTATCGAATCTCTCTTCAATGACTGAAGATAGTTTCTGTAGAATGAATTCTCAAGTAAGTGACCTAACAATACCTTCTTCGGACGGTTACACTTACACTCACTCTGGAAATAAAAATCTAATGAAGATAATTTGTATGGAAATCTAGTTAATTAACCAAACAAAATCAGTCTAAGATATGTTTAAACTAGATTTTATGTAAGCACTTAAAAAAATGGAAATCAGTTTTTCCCTAAGCCAAATTGTAAAAAAAATTATAAGTTTTTTTTTAACTCTTTTTTAACTTACACTTAATTTTAGTTTATAGAAAAAAAAAGGAATTATTCTCTTTAATGATTATGAACGGTTTATCCAATAATTAACGGAAGAGTTTATAAAAAAAAAAATTACCTTTACAGCCAGGTGGTCCATCCAATGATATAAACGTGACAATCCATAAGATAGGCATCAGTCCCTTACTTCAAGGGTCAATATCAAGTATTAGAAATAGACGTCTTAAGAAGAACCTGGAAACTGATGATTTACATTGTTCAAATATAGACAGACTTAAACCTTTTATATATATACAGACAAAGGCAATACTTGCTGCTAATTTATCTAACATAACTACTTTGGTACATTCAATTGCGTAACCACATTGATGCATTCCTGTTGTTGCAATTATTATGTTGAGCCTTTTCTAACAACCTTTCCAAAGCAACGTATAAATCCTTATTATGAGCTTAATAACATCGAATATAGTATTTGCAATTGTATCAGTCTCCTATTCTCATTAAAAAGTATTCTATAATAAATGTGGAGCTAGTAAAGCAATAATTAACAGAATTTTTTTACGCAATCAAGCTACAGTGATAACAGAAATGGCTAAAATCGCAACCGTTATTTTTTTTCTTTTTGGAAATTTAAGCAAAAAAGTGTAACAATGGAATGAATTAAAAAAATAATAAACGAATGAAGAGATTGATTTTCACGGAAAGGCGAAATGCGACTTCCTTCAACAGCAAGAAGAAGATCCAATCATTTCACAGCTAGGAGAAACAGGAAGCCTAATCAAGCCCTAGGAAGATTTACAAAATTAAAAAAGTAGCGCGTAAATTAAAAAGCGAAGGTTTCGGATACCGAGACGAGAACCGGATTTCGTGATCCAGATCAGGAACCGGTCACCGTCAGATCCATGACCTGGAAGTGGAATCATACGGCGGCGCCGGATCGATAACGGTAGAGCTTGCCGAACACATGCAGCGCGGTGACGAAGCCGATGAAGCAGACGCTCATCACGAGCACCACCGTTGGCGAGATCTTGAGGCCGGGAGCGTCGTCGGTGTAGAACCGCAGCATGTTGCTTCCTCCTGTGCCGGAACCGCTTCCGACGGAAGCGGAACTGTTACCGGCTCCGAGGCGGCGACGGCGCATCCCGGCGGTGGCGGCAGCGGAGCCGCGGGGAGCCATCACGCCCGGTCGCGTGGTGGCAGCGGACGTTGATGATTGAGATTGCGATACGCCTCTCGCCATGTCGAAGAGATGCGAAGATCACGAGGGAAGAGTGGTGTCGGAGAAAGAACAGAGTTGAGAACGGAAATTTGCGAGAGGATCGTTAGAAGCGTAAAATTATTTATCTTGATAAAAAAATAAAAAGTTATTAGTATTATTTAAATATCACTGGCTTCACTTATCCACTTGTTAATTGAGGTATTAATAGTAAAATATGAGATTTATTTAAGGATCTGAAACTATATAAGTTTACAATGAATCTTAATCTTGCACATTCAAGTTATAAATAGGTGTGGAAGATATTTCAACTGATGTTAATTAAAACTATGGTTATTTCTTAAATAGGTATATCATCGTTATATTATTTAATATTAGTAATTGTTTTGAAAAATGAAGACTTCAATTTCAATGCTAATCTTTTATTATAGAAATCATAAAAGCCAACTACAATATGATGTAGCGGGATCAACTCACATACCAACCATATATAATGCCGTTGAGAATGGAATCACCGTGGCTATGTTTAACTAATTAATGATACTTCTTAATTACATCATAGTGATAATGAATTCGTTACAGAAGACGATTACAACGTGTCATGCACGCATCTTTTTATGTACGATGATGCCAAAGGAATGGCATAGATAGAGTTACATAATGTTTCAATTTACACAGACGCAACACCTTGAATGAATGAATACGGTGGTGGGTGACTACGTGGCAGTGGTTGGTCTATTATCAAAGGAAAATTCCTTGGTGTGTGCAACGGTAACAATTTCATGTTGGCTTGTGTTAGTATTGGGATCATTGGTGGGACCCATTTCCACTTCGTGCTGCGAGTACGAAGGAGAAGGGGAATCGATTTCCCAGGGCTGAGTGTGGTCGCCGTCGAAGTTCGAACGCCGTGGAGAGGCGGGGAAGCTGTCTATTTCAGAACGGTAGTAGCGCAAGAGGTGCATTGGAGACATGTGGTGGCTCGGGGTCGTGGGTCTGCTCGACATGGGTGTCCCCGACAACGACAAGGGTCCCACACGGTTCTGTCTTATTTGCTTCTTCGCTGTCTGGTGCCACTTCCGCAGTGCCTCCGCAACTCTCTCGTTGAATATCGTTGGCTTCATCGTCGAACCCATCTGTTATACATACATTAAATGTAATTAATCTTTCATTAATGATCATTACTGAAGGAAAGCATACGGAGGAACAGGGTTTTATTGCTACCTGTGTCACCAGAGCATATAGAGGAAGAGTGACGTAGCTGCACAGGATTTGAATAAGGACCCTGACAAATCCGATTAACTTATAATCAATAATCAACATTTTAATTATAATTAATACAGATGTAGCTAGTTTGAGTAATGATGAAAGGTGATGATACCAACCCCATTGAGATTCTGATCACTACATCCTCAGTATGTGCGTGGAAACAAGACTTAATCCCAAATTGAAGCTGTGATTTAAACATTGGTGATTATTTAGTTTTTATCGATCGATGGAGTAAGTTTTTGTTTTTTGTTTTAATAATGATTAAACTCTACGATGACTTACCGCAGACCATGAGAAGAAAGCCAGCTGAAAAGCATTCTGTTTGGGTGTGGGGACGAAAATAAGAAAGAGTGAAGTCATAATATATAAATTAATTAGTATATAATGAAAAGAAGTATATGATTAAGCAACATAAGTAGTACCTGAAAGAGCACAAAGTTAATAAGGTAAAGAATAAGAGCAGGTCGGTTAAACCAGAACAAATAATCCCCTGGCTGTACCAATGGCACTCCCTTTAGAATCTCTCCTCTTTGTTGAATTCTCAGACCCATCTCAGTTATGATCACTTGCAACTTGGTTCCAACTAACAGAATGATCTACATTTTTATGCCAATTACAAGGTTATAATTATGGATATATATCACCATCCATCGTTTGGACCAAAAATGAAAGTATAGGAGTTGAATGTGCTCACAATCAAAGGAATAAATGGCAGCCACAGATAAGAGTACGAGCCTGTCCATGCAGATACACATCACAGTAAATAATAATAATAATTATAATAAGTCAAATGCGTGGGTAGCCCGTAGTTGCTCAATTACCATGAGTGTTCAAGAGAAGAAACAGCACCGCGAAGAACCAGAATGGAGGACTGAAATATTTAAAAACATCAGTTAAATCATAATATGTGTAAAGTTTCTTAATTTCTTCGACTATCAAATGACAGTGCACGAAACCTGATTCCGACAACGACTTTGAAATCCTCGTCCAGAGATCGTTTTATGTATTTCCGAAAATCAAATTTGGAGTGACTTTGAGGAGCCAAATGTGCCTGAAATCAAAGTAAAATTCAAAGTCATTAGAATGGTTTGAAATGATAATTTCAAATACCTTTTTTTCTAGGAAAGCTCAGAGAAGGAAAAACCAAAACATTAACGTGTAATTGATGGTGTTTTGATTAAAGAAAATGGCAAATGAAGCTACCAAGAAGGAGACTTATTTGATTACCATGATAAATCCATGTCTTAAGGTCAAGTAATCCACTTTAGGTACTGATCTCACAAATTGCCTAAAGAAACAAACCTGAAATCATCCAATCTCGGCCAAATTAATGAATAATCACACACAAATTAAACACCAAGCAAAGTGGTCCTAATGCAAGAATACTCAGATTTCAGATAAAGAAAAAGGTCCTATTCAGAAAGTCATGAACAAAAGGACCACTACAAACTCTAAATCCGCGTTCAGATTATCTTATATGGAACTTTATTTCTGAACCGTATCATATTTATTTGAATACATTCAGTGTAGAACAGTCTTCTCCAAGTTTTCTCTGTATGCATATGAAAATGCAGTGATCTTTCACATTAGTTTCTGAGATTCTAAGACTGTCACTCCTTTTAGTATCTGGCTCTTACATCTTCATTATATTTATAAAGTCATTTACTTTAATTAAAAAAACTGAAATAAATTGCTCGTACAAAGTCAGAGAGTTACAATTAAATTATATTAAACGAGTGAGGCTAAAATTCAGCTTATATTAAGTAATAAAAATAAATATAATAGATTTGGCTTACAATCCACATAAGGACAGGGTTTTTGGTCCAGAAACTCAAATGCCTTCTTCCAAACGATGTTTCTCTAGCAAATCTAAATCGTTCAGGATCTGAAATATCACACAATGAGATAGATAATTCGATATGTTAATACATTGATAATGTGAGTAAATTATTACAAATTCTTATCTGTGTTAATTTGTGAATACAAAAAATACATATGCAGAAAAGAATTGACCATGTGAAAATTGGTACTCTGGTGTCTTGGTTTCCTCTTCCCATCTTTTCCACCTCTTCATCTATATTGAGATACAATTCAAACAAGTAAAGGGTAATTATATTTTGGCAAAAGAAAATTAAAATTATTAAAAAAAATTGTCTTTGATTATTACCTTTGCTCTTCCTAGAGCCATGGTGGTAATGCAGTAAAGGACATGAAAAACAGTTAGCACAAAGATAAATATATGGAGTTGATGGATGCCGTCGGATGACACAAACGGGACTTTACCCTGAAACATTTTGCATTATCAAAGAATAACATCATTACATAAAATAAATATATTAGTATATCAGCAGAAAAAATGTAGTTATGTTAATCAAACATATTCAGTTTTTATGATCCAGAAAAAAAAGGGAAATTTGAATGAAAAAAAAATCGTCAGAATAAATTAAGACGGCAATTTTATTCTTAAAAAAATGAAAGATTCAGATTTGCATGACATGTGCTGTACCATTTTTCTAGTTCTTCATTATATACACTAATGTAATTCAAAGGCAAAATTTTCTTGGTTATTTGGATAATATATGTGGTGGAGCTAAGCCTGATTTTGTTTTCACAATTTGATTATATCAGATATTACATGAAGACTTTTAACATATTGGCCCCTCAAGACATTATATTATCTCTGACTTGAGTGACACAACTATAGAAGAAATACACAACCATAATACGTATCACTGTCGTATATTTTAATGTAGAAAACGACTTCTTCAAAAACAATTAAGAAACCTTGACATTATTGAATTGACATAACTGTCTTTAATTGTTTTTCTGTCCCATATTGCAAGTCTTTTTTTAAATATTTTTAAAAAAAGTATATTAAATATTCTTATTGTTACTTTTTTAAGCATATCCACTCATATATAACATGTGTTATCGATCATTCTATACCATTGGCATAGTGAAACGTTTCTATCAGTATAGATTTAATGTCTACACTAATAATTTTTTTTGTTAAGAAAAAGTCTTATTTTCTTTCACTGATTTGGAAAAACAGAAAAATAAGAATGCTCATGAAAAATATTCTTTTAACAATTTTATTTTACAACTTATTTATAAAATTTTATGTAATAGTTTGTGATTGATCTGTTTCAAATATATATACTATTTAAACAGTGACACTTAATTATTGTTAAAAAGTTGTTAAAATATTATATGCTACTTGATCATAGGACTCAGCAACTGGTATCACTCTGTATTAAACTGTCTGTATTAAACTGTCTGTTAAAAGAGAACAATCTTCTTAACATATTTATTAAATATCATGAGCAGTAACTTAAAAAAGAGTGTATGACAGAAATGTGTAACAAAATTCCTAAAAGTAAACTTTATTCTTAATCTCTACTTTACAAAAAAAAGACTAAAATCATCAACATATATATATTCGGAATGTGTGAGTAAACATTGATGAACACTGCTAAAACTTGTAAAACCAAACGGAAACTGATGTTGTGCACAGGTATAAAATTAGACCAGAGAAAATTTTTGAAGCAAAATATGGTAGAAATTACAGAGTTTGAAAATGAAAAGAATAACAAAATCCTACCAACCTCGCCACACTTATCGCTTCCTCCTCCAGCCAAAACACGGCGTGGAGTTACCTCGTTTGAACCATGGAACGCCGCCAACAACCTGCGGCTGTTGGTTCCCTGTTCAGACTCTTCAGTGTCTGTGTTTTCGTGGCTACAAGGGTGCCATGTTGATGCAACTTTCTCTGATATACATATTCTTGATATCAGACCTTGTCCCACTGTTAAAAGCAACGATAGGAACCCCAGTAACATAAGCTCTGC